TGAAAGGAAAAAAAAATAGAGGTTTCAAATGCATGAGATCCAAGAAAAAATGTTAGGTTTATAAGTATGTATGATTTATAAACTTTCAAATAACTAGATTTATGGAAATCTTTGTTTTTAACATTTTCTAAACATTTCAAAATCATTAAGTTTATCAATCGACTATGATACATCTCCTATAAAGCATCATTTATATCCTCCATAAATATTGAAGTTATATAAATCACATTTATTCAAATATTATATAATCAATTATAATAATTTAAAAATAATAAATAACCAAATAATTATTTTTTTATGAAACAATTTTAATACATAAACTATTATAAGTCACTAAACAATTCCGTCGTTAATTGATTTATTCTTTGCTTTAATGTAATGTTTTTTTTTTTTCATCTCACAATAATGGAGAACAACTCAAATAAATTCTTCATTCCTCTTTGTTTATAATAGTTAATCAATAATCGATTTAATTTGATTATAAAATATTTAAAATAATTATTTAGATAAATATAATATTTGAAAATTTTATAAAATATAAATGACACTAGAAGTTAGCCCGAACAAATATAATATTTTGATATTAAAAAAAACATATATCAAATTCTTCCAAATAAAATACTCTAACCGCTCATAAAATACCCCTTTCAATCTTTTTTATCGGAGTTGGAAGGAAGCTTATTTCATCGATCTAATACATGTTTTATTTATTTATTTATCATTTTGTATAACTTAACTTCTAATTTTTTTTTTTATTTATTTATCATAATTCACCGTTTCATAGTTGTAATCATATTAATAACAATAATTATCATTATTATTAACCTTTCAATTTCATGTGTTATATAACAGGTTTGGCATGAATGAATCTATGTCATACATAACAAACACAATTAGTAAAAGAAGGTTTTTCTCCGAGTACTATGAAATAAACGGATAATATCATCTGATTATATGAGTTATAGTGTGATAAATGATAATTTAAGAAATTTATGCCTATTTCTATGGCTATTTCGAATCTAACTTATTCGAGCATTTTATCATCCCGATTAATCTAAATGGATAATGACTTAAAAAATTAATATATTTTTTAATATACATTTGGTTACTGAGTTTTTATTTTTCGTCGACATTTGCTCATTCAACTTGTTTAACTATACACATTCAGTCATTATGATCGTCTACTGCTAGTAAAACAAAAAAATGATTTAATAGGGTAATGTATTTCCCGTTTTCTATACATTTGACTTCTTAATATGTTTTTACATATTTAGTCTTTAATATTTTTTTGTTGCAAAATAAGTCAATTTGTTTTGTACACTTTCATATTTATAACCAGGTTTTTAAGGTTTTTTTCATGACATCCTGCGTAGGACAATTATTAATGAGATGTTCAGGGTTGTTGATGTTTATGGTCACCTCGACCTCCGCTGCTTGATTGCTTCGTTTTGTGTTCTGAACGTCGTAACTTCTTCATACGATCTTAGATTTTAATGACATTTATATCCACACGTTCGTATTTGTTATGTTCTGAACTGTTGGATTAGATGTCTAAGTTCATAACTATAATTGGTATATACTTGACCCGATAATAGCATGATCATTTTGGGTTGTCTTCGCCATAACAACTTGATTGGATGAATTGTGAGAAAGAGATTGATAAATGATTTGATAATATATTATAAGAATAATATATTAATTGAGAAATCATATTATTTAGTTAGTATTGATCAGAAATTAATTTGGAATTAATTTGGTGATGTAGTTTACTGTTAGTTGCAAGTTGAGTTGTAGACTCCTAAAGGAAGGGGTGGACGAATTATATGGAAAGCCCATAGAGGAATTCGTCCAAAGGGCCTTCTACAAGGGTGTAACATCCCAAAATTCAAGACAAAATTTTTATTTTTAATTAAGTTATTATAAAACCAACAGTATAAGAAAACATCTATAATAACATCCCATATCAAAACCAAAGTACCAATAATCAAAACATGTTATCATCAAACAATATTAGAGTGTAATCCCAAAGATCTCTTGTGCGGGAAACATAACATGATGTGTTGCGATCGAGCAAGCTCCTTTCTTTTGAAAGCGAAGTACCTGAAACCAAAACTGTAAACCGTAAGCACGAAGCTTAGTGAGTTCCCCCATCATACCACATAACATACAATAAACATACTGCTAGTCATATCTGGGTGCCCGACCTACCCTACTGAGCATATCTGGGTGCTTAACCTACCCTTGTCAGGCATACCGAGGCGCCCGACCTACCCCTGTCAAGCATATATGGGGGGCTCGACCTACCCTGTTAGGCATATTTGAGTGCTTGACCTACCCTCCAGTTTATTTCAACCAGCTATGGGAACTATTTCACCCCTACCATTACCACATAAAAATATAACATACTATCAGGCATATCTGGGTGCCTAACCTACCCTGCCGGTATATCTCAACCGGGTATGGGGACTAGTCCCCTTCCTACCACTATCACATAATATCATAGCATACTAGCACATAAAGCATAACAAATAGTGACATACCGGATAATTATCACAAAGACAATCATCTCTACTATACTTTTACTAGTGGGCCAATATTGGTGCTTTCGACCCACTTCTACTGGGAGGTAACTCACCTCACACTGCTGAAATCCTGCGGACAAAACTCTAGCTGTTGGATGACAGATTCCCAAAATGTCAACATCAAAATAACACCCAATTAATAATTGGGTTCTAACGCATAACCATAAGTCCATGCTTGGGTTAAAGACTACTTTACCCCCATCTTAGCTTGATTCAAGCTTAAGGCCTAATCAAAATTCAAACTATGAACCAAAGCCCAACATATAGCCTAATTTTCCAAATTGGGCCCAAACATTCTCATGGTCTTATCCTAAGGCACAACCATTTATTCCAATCCAAATTTGGCATTCCAATGGTCCAACATCTCATAATCATCAAGGCCCAGTGGTGGCCCATCTATGGCCCAATTTTCCAAATTGGGCCTAAACCCCTCATATGGGCCTTACCCTAAAGCCCATCCAAATGTTATAGTCCATATGCTTGTTTTAGGATGGCCCATCAATTGCCCAATCACCCAAACCCAATAGAAAGGCCCAACTCAAAGCCCAAGCAAAATTAGGGTTTTCACATAAAATGACGATTATGGTTAATGTAACACCCATAAAAATCATGGTAAATTTAAACTTTTTAAAACATTTAGAAACCAATAGTTATTACCAATTTGTTTTCAAAACAGTTCTGTATCAGAGTATCCCAGAAACATAGTCATAAAATATGAGGAGCTGTACGATCACACTTTTGCCTTCACGCGATCATCTGTGGTACCTGAAACCAAAACTGAAACTGTAAGCCCAAAGCTTAGTGAGTTCCCCCCAAAATACTGATACACTGCAAATAACACATATACAAATAACGTGTACTGGGTCCACAACTTTATAGACTGGATTACCCTTGGGCCCAAAGTGTGAGTCTGGCTCAGGACCACAATTCACATCTGGATTGCCACTGAGCCGACAATACGAGTCTGGTATGCCCTATGTGGCCCTCAGCTCGTATCTGGAATGCTCTCGAGCCCACAGTACGATTCTGGTATGCCCTACCCGACCCTCAGATCATATCTAGAATGCTCCCGAGTCCTCAGTATGAGTCTGGCATGCCCCGCCCGACCCTCAACTCATATCTGGAATACTCCCGAGTCCTCAGTATGAGTCTGGCATGCTCGACTCGGCCCTTAGCTCATATCTGGAATTCTTCAGGGTTAGTTGGCTACTGCACAGAGTAGTACAACCTCAACCCAACCCACATAATATATCGACATATAACATAACTAATGCACATACAGATAATCACATAATAATATAGGTAGTCCTATAAATCTACCAACTGGCATAGTAACTAGCATGCAACATTAACTCATACTCAACATAGTACCAACTGCTAGGATAACATATCCAATTGGCCAACATTGGTGCCTTAGACCCCTTAGTATAGTGAGGATAACTCACCTGGCATTGCTGAAGTCTCGTGGATGAAACTCCAGTTGTTGGTTGACAGATTCCCGGACTGCCAACATCAAACAATACCCAATTAATAATTGGGTTCTAAGACCAAAGTCAAAATCACACTCCAAATGCCTAATAGTCAAGTAATGGGCCAAGGCCCAACATACTATCCAATTTTCTAAATTGGTCCCAAACCTCTACAATGTCTTTCCTTAAGGCCCATCTAATTATCTAGTCCAAACTCTTGGTATTCCTATGGCCCAATATCACATAATCATAAAGGCCAAATTATGGCCCAATTTTCCAAATTGGGCCCAAATCTCTCACATAGGCCTTATCCTAAAATCCATACAATTATTTTCGTCCATTAACTTGTTCTTGGAAAGCCCATCAATAGTCCAATCATCAAAGCCCAATAAACAGGCCCAACTCAAGGCCCAAGTGAAATCAGGTTGTCCACATGAAATGACGATTAGGGTTAAGTGTTTCTTACTTAACCCATTAAGGACTTAATCCATTACCCCTTTCTCAAATACCGAAAATCTTTACAAACTTCCTTCTCCGATTTTTCTGTCGCTTCTTCACCAATTTCCATAATTCTAGTGGTGTTTTCATTAAGCTTTTCGAGCTTTATATAATGCATAAGCTTGCTTTGTTTATAATCTACTCAAGAGACCGAATTTAATTAATCATTATAGATGATGGTTTTGGTGTTTTACTTCCCTTCATTTGCTCCCAGTTAAAACTAATAACACCTAATTATATATCCAGTTATTGTAATAACAAATAAATTAACCTATATAAAAATATAATTATTTGAGTTATCATAGTGACCAAATATATACAAATCAAATATATATTACCCTTTTAAGTCATTATCCTAATCTAAAGCATCATTTTTTTTCTTAAGTTACTTAGAATTCATACACAAAAAGTTTAGAGCAATTTATAATGTTGTTATATACAATCAGGTAGTTTACATAAAACGACTTACTTGAAAATCCATCTCATCCTCAATCGTGTCAATGATTGTGCCCATCGTAGGGCGTTCCTTTGAATTCAAGCTTATGCAATGATATGCAAGTTCTTTGAACCTATGAAAACAACGGCTATCAATTTGTTCTCTTATGTATGGATCGATTAATTTCTCTGGTTTCTCATTATAGTAGCGTCGAACTAGATTTATCAAATATTGTGGGTTCCCATCTATAAACTTCGTTAGATGATAAGCCAACCTCCCACTTAACAGTTCAAACAATACAACTCCAAACGAGTACACATCTGACTCTTTAGAAAGGATGCCACTTTCATGGTAAACCGGATCCAAGTAGAAGTTGGTACCCGCAACTTTTGTATAGAATTGGGTAGATTGTTGATTTCTAGGACCTTCTTTTGATAAACCAAAATCACTAATTTTTGCTTCTAGATTTTCATCTAGCAATATGTTCCCACTCTTAACGTCTCTATGTATTACTCTTTTGTCTTTCCCTAGACCCGAGTGAAGGTAATCGAGTCCTTTTGCTGCCCCTAAGCAAATCTTGAGGCGTTGCACCCAGGTTAGGCAACGCCTCTTTATAGGGTTTTCGAGATGAAAATCAAGGCTATGGTTGCTTGCATACTCGTAAACTATAATCATTCTCTCGTTTTCATCACAATAACCAACAAAACGGATGATGTTTGGATGGTTAAATCTGGAGATCAACCTAAGCTCAGTACGAAACTCGTTGTTTCCTTGGTGACATTCAGGATCAAGGCATTTAATGGCAACTGTGAAATTTTTCCTGAGTTCTCCTTTGTAAACAACACCAAATCCGCCTTTTCCAATCCGCGTTTCTAAATTGAAGTCTCCCGTTGCCTTTTTTATTTCTTTTAGGGGAATTAGATAACTATCTAGGCTTTGTGTAGTATTTGTAGAAGGTGCTTCGTTGTTCTGTAAAAATAAACAAAGAAAACTTTGCTTAGAGATTTCATGTCATTTTTCCCTTTCACATAAAGTTAAGGAAAATAGTAGGAGTCCTTTACATGGTTTTCTATGTCTTTCATATTTTTATGGCATTATATTATATTGTTTTTAATCATGGTGTAACCTTATTATTTTTTTTAAATAAGCACCTAATTACATGCTTTTGAAAATATTATTCTTATTGCAATTTTGAAAATATCCACTTAACAAATGTCTGCCAAGTTTTGCTTCTAACTGTCAATCACTTCAAGATTAATTGAATTTAAATATGGAACTTTTTTGAAAGTACTCTAAAGTGATCACACATAAATCACTCAATGATGGTTGATAAATGTCTACAATGCATCACAAACCATATAATTAAATTTAAAACTAGTCAAATTTATGTTTGTTAATACTAGACTACTAAAGTAATCACCAAGAGTAAATAGGACATGATGATAAATATAAAACTTATAGCTAATATGGGATAGTAAATTTTTATTTACATAAGTGTTTCTAGTTATATAAATTGGCCCTTTTAATTTTTACTTATTATTTTATAATTTCAATTTATTAACTTTGTTTACGTAAGGGACATAAGGAAAAATTATATTCATTATAACAAATATATTATTAAAAGGATATCATCAACATATTGTAAATGATAACTCTAATTATGAAAAATATTGTTATAGAGCATTGGCAAAACTAACCGATAGTTTGAAGCTGGAAGTGATAACTGATACCTGATAGATGAAAGTTGGAAGTTGGAAGTTGGTTGTAGTTGGTAGCTAGAGGTTAAAAGTTAGAATATATAGCTTTTATTTGTGAAAAAGCGTTTGACAAAAGTAGTTGTTACCTTTTAAAGGTATAAAATTAAATAAAATCCAAAAGCTAAAAGCTCTGAAAAACTACTTGAAGTAGATCTTTTGGATTAACAATTTAAAATAAAAGTTAAAAGTTCATAATGATGAATGAAGCTTTCTTTGAGATATTGGTAAAAGTTAAAAACTAAAATCTCCTAAAAGATTTGTGTTAAACACGCTTATAGTATTGAAAATCATTGATGTTTATTCTAGGATATCTAGGCAACTAAGTGTTTCTGATGTACATGATTTATCACTTTTTAATACATCATTCATCCTTAACTTCATTGTTGTTCAACACATACCATTATTACTTGCTACTTGCTAGAGATGTCTAGCCTAACTAGTTTGTAGGCCTGAGTTGGCACATCCCCTTGACATCTTAGTCGACATTGGTACCTCTCATGAGTCTTTGGTAATCTTCTCTTATCAACATAGCTTGACAAGCGGTGATTATGGACATATATCCTCAACATTTCAAAGTTTGATTCTCAAATTTGTGTGGGTTGTAGTTTAAGGGTACATAACACTTTACCACGATATAACTATTGCAAAATTCTTATTCGAATCTCTAATAAACTACATGGAAATGTTGTCAGGTCTATGCATATTTTGACACATAAAAATATTATTGATATGTTTATATAGCCAAGTAAGATATGAATACAATCAAATGTTTTCAAATACACAAACAAACTAAATATACATAGCCCTTGTTTTTCATCTTCCAATCATGTTTTTTTCTTTTCTCCATCCTTTGTATACATGAATATGTAAAAATACCATAAGTATGACCTAATCTAGCTAAATTAAAGTTTTAAACTTGAAATTATCAAAACTAGGAATACAAAATTTGTGATTTTAGGTGTTCAAATTATGAGAACGATTGTAGTAATAATGATTTAAAATAGTTTCGAGTGATCGAGGGATTGTTAGATCATGTGAAATTGATTGAGAAAATAATAATATGAGATGTTAATAAAGGGGTTCAAGATTACAAGAAGATCAAGAGAAACGATGTAAGAAAGTTATCCTCAGCTAGAGATAAAAATAAAATATACATATGATTTAATATAATGGATTCGATAGAGCTTAGTGTTTATCTTATTGATGAGGTTGGGAATTATGAATGCTAAATGTTCAATTGAATTATTCCAATGATTTAGTACATACAAATAGAGAGGAATGCACAATTACAGAAGACAAATTAGGAATATACAAAGAATGCACAACAATCTTTTACTAATAATAAAACTCTAGAATATTCTTTTTGAGGGATTGATTTTATTGAATGATGGTTGTGATGTTATAGTGTTGATACGCCCCTGCAAGATGGAGGTTCCATCATAAACTCCAAATTTTGAAGGATTGATTTCACAAAAGAAGTCTAAACACAAAAGACTATTTTAAAAGAATATGTCTATTTATTTGTCTTTATATAAATAGAGGTCATTCATATATATATATATATATATATATATATATATATATATATATATATATATATATATATATATATATATATATATATATATATATATATATATATATATATATATTCTTTTGGAGGCCCTAAGCGAACCAAAAATATGGGGCCCCTTGGATAATGGAAAACTGGAAAAGAAGTGAAACACATACCGTTTGGCGTTGAGGATTTGAACAATTGAGAGCCAAAAAGAAATAAATGCGACGTTTTATTTTTTAAGATCACATCGATGTGTCTCATGCATTTCGTCTTCAAGAATCAAGATCACACACTTTGTGATGTGTTGGACAATTAGTAATTGACTAACTGAGATTTGAGATATATTAATATTGGATTATAAGTTTGAAGAATATGAGTCCCTTTGGAATTAGGGGACCTAAGTCACAGTTTATAAAAATATAAGGTTGAGCCACCCCTATTTTACCTCTTATATACATTCTTTACCCAACTCCAAAAATCATACCAACTATCTTCTTTCCTTTCTACTCTTTTTCATTTCATTCTAATTCTATCAAATTCAATTGAAACAGATTCCAACCGCAGAAATTCAAAAAAAGAAAGAAAGAAAGAAAGAAAGAAGAACCATAACTACCCCAAGAAAAAAAACCATCAAATCGAAACTGAAATGCAAATGTTAGTTCCCGGAACCCAAATCTCAAATTATACTCAACATCAAGTTCAACCATAACAATTTCAACCCTAACAAATGTATAACCAATTTGCAGTCTCTTAAGACTAACCTCGTTTATAGTCCTTACCAAATCTATCTAAGTTTAGTTTACATTACTAACACTTCTCATTTTCATACACCTATAAACGAAGAATATATCGCAGAAACCCAACCCACATTTGAAAACCAAAATGAAGAGTTTAGTGAAGAAACCCCACCTCATCACAATAGAAAACATCATAACCCTCGAGAAATTTTACCCAACGGTTGAATTGATTCACATAGACAGAAAGTAGCGTTAAACAAAGCTTTTATCAGTACATCGGTGTATTATGAAAGAGGACATCATTAACGATCAGATGCATTTTAGGACACAGTAGTGGAGGATTTTAAGAGTTGAATGCATGGCAGCAATCATAATAAGCACCAAGTGAACTCCAAATTAAAGGATTTGCATGCAAAAATTAACAAATTCAATTGCATCTACAACAATGAATGCAACATCCGTCAAAGCAAAGATCATATGTTAATGTGTTAAAGGCGACAAGTATTATGTACCACAAGCTCTTTGTGAAACAGTTTCCATATGAGGCGACATGTGATGTTTTGAAATACCATGATTAATGGATTATTATTGGGTTGACGGATACGTGACAATCCATCTATCATCCATAAAAAGAGTAAAACATATGATTTCCAACACATACACAAGTGGATCGAATGCCTAATTTTCAAGTCATTTCGATGAAGGGGTGATTATGTTATGGGTGCAAAGTTTCAAGAAGGGGTGTCAATGTTGACACCATAATCGCAACAACTAAAGGCTAACAAACAAGTAGGAACATCCTCGAAGTCGAATGATATTAGAACCCTCATGGATGAAGTTGGTTAGCTCACCAAAATAAACGACAAAAAAGAAGAAAACAAGGAGTGCTACCAAAAGGATAAATTCCACAATTTATAAGAGGAACCGCAAAAGAAAGTCATGATATTGGAGGACGAGTTACACATGACGGAATAAAATGATTTAATAAAGATTTACAACTTTTTCTTAAGTTGCATGACCATTTGAGTGAATGATAGTTGAATGTAATGGGTGGCAAGCATTGAATATGTATGTGAATTTTAGAAATCTTTTTAGATTTTAACTAGAAAAGGACACGCGGCTCCATCGCTTTTGGACTATGTCATAGAAGTTGAAAATGGCAAACTTTAAAAGATGTGTTGAAAGTGTAAATCGCCACAAATAAAGGAGAAATTCGACAACTCCTAAAATTAGATGTCAAAAGTGTACAATCAAAAGAAAGAACATTGACTGAGAAAAAAAAATGTTGTGACTATAGTGTGAAAGTTGCCAAAGTTAGAAAAATATGGTGGCAAATGTCTAAAGAAGTTTTTTTTTTTTTTTGGTCAAAATGCAAAAGTTTTAACTTCAAGGTTGAGAGGTGTCAAAATCACTAAAAAATTATGTCAAAAACATCAAAATATAAAAGTTTAGACTGCAATGACGAAAAGTGTTAAAGTCAATAAAGATTTGTAGCAAAAACCTAAAGATATAAAAACTTAATCAAAACTTAAGGAAAATATCAAAGTTAGCAAACATTTGTAGCAAAAACATAAACCCAAAAAAGTTACTATTACTAAAGAAACTTAAATTTAGTATATATATATATAAATTATTATTTTAGGATTTTATTTATTATTTTAATTACCGTATTTAAGATTTTAATTTTCTTTTGTTTGTTTTTTTTAACCATTTTACATCTCTTAGGATTTTATTATCATGTGTACTTTGTATTTTTTTTTAAAGTTTAGTTTTATTTATTGTAATAGATAAATATTTTAATATTTTTTTAAAACAAAATGGAAAGTGTTGGCAAGGTTCTAAAATATGAGTTTATTAGGGAGTGGATTAAAATAGATAAAAATAAGAAGACATAGAGAGAAAACTAACACTTATAGTAAGACAATAATTTGGTTGGGAGGAATGACTCCATCCATTAACCATCCACTCACGTGATGTTTGTTTTTTATTTGCAGTTGCATGACCACTTCTATCTACGTTGCGCAGACCACACACATACATATTCCCTTGCAAATTTGTTTGTTTCTGGAAGTGCGTAGACTTAAAAATGTTTGCGCGTGATCTTCTTGGCTTAGACATGGACCAATGTCTTCTAAGGTCCTCATAAGTCCTTTTAATCTAAACTAAAAAAAACGTATGCATTTTTTTTTTTTCTGTCAACATCTCCAACATCCATCGAAACTTTCCTTACCATCGACGACTCCTTCCACCACCAACTTTCTTCAACCTCTCGACTCCTCTTTGTGTCGCCTTCGTCAAGACCAGAACTATCTAATTGTACCATCAGACGCTGTTCCTTCCTTCTTCGATGCTACTCCTTCCTTCGTCGGATCTGTTGTCCCATCTTAATCTTAGTTGTGCCTTCGTTGGAATTTCATTATGCTTAGCCAAAGTTTCCTTCTCCATCATTAGGTTTGTTTCGTTTTCCCTGGAATCGATTTTTTGAATCTGATTTTAGTGAATTTGATTTTCCTGGATAGTTTTGCTATTTTATGTTATTATACATGATAGCTTCATGTGTTGACTCTGATTTGGAATGATGTTTTGTTGAAATTAGAATTCATAATTTGTTAACCGTGATTGAATTTCTATGTGAATTTCTGATATTATACATGGTTGCTTCATCGGTTGAGATGATTGGAGCTGATAGGATTGATTGTTGATTTGAGATTCAACTATTCTTATTCATGTTTTACATTGGTGTTTGCAGGTAAATTTCTCACTGCTTATTTAAGCTACAAAAGGGAAATTCTAAAGGTGAAATAAGTCATTTAACTCAACGATTTCAACTCAATGTACTCATTGATCTAGAATACATACTTTTATTACACTAATATATAATACACATTGGGTATTACTATTGTTGTATAGTAGTCATGTTTGGGATTAATTTGTTCTTAATCTGGTGATTGATTTTTTAAACTATCAGCTAGCAATGGAAATTCAAGAATTTATGAAAATTAATTATGAGGATCATGTAAATGAGAGTAATGCATCAACTAAAAATTATCATGAACTTGGAGATTGATGTTTGGATAATTTTGTAATGTAATGTAGTGTGACTAATTTAATTCATTATATGTAGATTGTTTAAACTTTTTTGTATTAATGTCTTCAAAATGATCATTTTTATTGCTCGATAATGCAATGAAAATTGTTAAAACTTGTACATTGTATATAAATAATTAAAATTTGTTTATTAATCATTGTTTCAAAGTGTTAAGTTTCAAAAAATCAATCATTTTTTTTTACAGTCTACAAAGTTTAAAAAACAAATAGTGTTCTTCTTGCAAACTACAAACATTTGACCCGCATTTCCTACTACAGAAGTCTGCAGATGTGATCTGTAGACTGCAAATATTTTGCTTTTGAAAAAAAAACAACACCTAAAAGAACTTACACAAAAGCAAACTGTCTGACAACATGGAAAAATCTTAAATATCTAAATTATTTTTGATTTTTATTTCAACTTATTTTATTTATACAGTTATCACTATTTCAAATATTATTATTTAGGATGCTTAGTTGGGAAAAACCTTAACATATTTTTGGTTGGATTCGGCCACAACTTTTACGCATAGTTATCACTTTAGCCTGCTTAACTAGTTTTATGGTAAGTTCATTATCTTTTTTTTGCAAACTTGGTCCCTGTGGTTTGCAAAAAGTTTTCAACTTACACCCCAAAAAAGTTTCAACTTACACCACATGCCCTGATTTTGAAATTTTCCGGTGAGAATAGGATTCTCTAGCGAGACTTTTCTGGCGATAGGAGGTTGAATTTGAAGGCATGGGTTTTTCGTTGATGGAGAGAGGAGTAGAAAGGTGATAGCGATTTGGAGAATGGAGGGGTAGTTGAGGCTGTAATAGTCGTTTACTGATGAGGGTGAGTTTTCGACAACGAGTCTCTTCGGTGGAACTAGAGATGGTGAGGTTAGCTGGGTTGTAGTCGTAAGGGTAGGGCGAACAAAGGGAGGCCTCAATTTGTGGCTTAGCAGCGGTTAAGGGGTCGATTTTGAAGTTACAAGTGGTTGTGGCGGTGGTTGTTCTTCGCCGTGGAGACCTAGACGGGATTGGCGACGTGAGATGACAAAGTTCAAGGACCAATTCGCAAACTACAAGGACCACCATGGTTAACTAGGTTAGAATGATAACTCTGCGTAAAAGTTGTGAACAAAACCATAAAAAAATGTTACGGCTTTTTCCAACTACGTGTATAAAACTTGAGACTTTTATGGTATTTGGCATAATTTATTTATGCCTTTTCATTCTTAATATTTAATTATACGCTAATTATATTGGGTGATTATAAACAAATGCGTCTTTTTATGAAAAAGTCTTTACAAAAATGTGGCTCATTCATACCTTTTCTTTTGTCAAGTGTGGAATATTTAACAAAACTTTGCCAAAAGCAATACGTCTCTGCCATGGATTTTTTTTTAAATATCTACGTCGTTTTCTAATGTTCAATTTACACGCAGGGAAATTTTTTAAATATCGAATTAATATATTTATGCCGTTCCCTTCGTCATTGTTAAATTTATATTTATTATATTTGGAGTGTTGATAATAATATATACACTTTAAAATTCGAGGGGATGTAGATGAAACTCTATGACACCAATGCTCTACGTTTATCATTATAAAACTTCAATTCCAAAAGATCTAAATCAAAAGACTTACTTGAATATCACGTGCTTCCTCAATCCTGTTGATGATCCTTTTCACTGTAGGGCGATCCTTTATGTTCAAACTAATGCATCGATACACTATTTTCATAAAAGCACGGAAAGAATGAATATTAATTTCATCCCTTATAGCAGGATCAATTAAGATATCCAATCCATCTTCATAATATCGTCGGACCAAATGTATCATTGTTTGTGGCTGATTATCACCACCGATTGTCCTTCGATAATATGCTGGCTTCCCACTTAATATTTCCAATAACACCACCCCAAATGAGTAAACATCTGACTCTGTCTTTACAATGCCACTTTCCTCGTAGATAGGATCCATGTAATATCGGGTACCAGCAGGGGCATCATAGACTTGTGGCCGATTCCGGCTGACTAATAGTGACAAACCAAAGTCACAAATTTTTGCTTCCATATTGTCATCTAACAATATGTTTCCGCTCTTTATGTCTCTATGAATTACTATGTGGTCCTCCCCAAGACCCGAGTGAAGGTACTCGAGTCCTCTTGCTACCCCTATGCAAATCTTCAGACGATGTGCCCATGTTATGCAACAACTCCTTTGCGGGTCTTCGAGATGATTATCCAGGCTTCCATTGGTAGCATATTCATATACTATAACCATCTCATTGCTTTCATCACAGTAACCAATGAAAGAGATTATGTTTTGATGGTGGAAACTAGAAATCATCTGAAGTTCGTTATGGAATTCATGCTCGGCTTGACGATTATCCTGAGCAAAGCGCTTGATGGCTGCTGTTTGGTTTTGCCAGCATTCAGAGAGCTGTACCTTGTAGACGCGAGTAAATCCACTCTCTCCAATACATTTTTGTGGACTAAAGTTTTCGGTGACAAGAATGATCTCTTTAAGTGGAATTAAAAAGTTTTCAAGGTTTTGGTGTTGGTAGCTTTGTGTGGGATTAATGACTGAATTAGCTTCATTGTTCTGTCGATATAAACAAATTAAACAGAGTTTGCTTAGAAAAATTTATCATGTGGTATTTCTTCACGTCAGTTTGCATTCTTGCATATGAAACTAAAGTTTCTTCAAAGAATATAAATTGCGAGACTTACTTGAATATCGAGTGATTCCTCAATGCTCTTGATGATCTTGTCCATAGTAGGGCGATCCTTTAAGTTCCAACTAATGCATTGATATGCAATTTCCTTAAACACATGGAACGAACGACTATTAATTTGATCTCTAATCTGAGGATCAATTAATATGTCCAAACCATCATCATAATAGCGTCTAACCAAATTTATTAGTGTTTGCTGCTGATTATCACCGATGCTCTTTCTTTGATAAGCTAACATTCCACTCAACATTTCAAACATTACAACCCCAAATGAGTAAACATCAGATTCTCTCATGACAATGCCACTTTCCTTGTATACAGGATCTAGGTAGAGGTTGGCACCGAGAGCAAAGTCACACACGTATTGGTGTTTTTGGTCAACTAATAGTGACAAACCAAAGTCACAAACTTTTGCTTCCATATTATCATCTAACAATATGTTTGAAGCCTTGATGTTTCTATGGCGACTCTCTCCAAGACGTGAGTGAAGGTATTCAAGTGCTCTTGCAGCCCCTATGCAAATCTTCAGGCGTTGTACCCATGTTAGGCAACTGCTCTTATCGGGGTCATGAAGATGATGAGCAAGACTCCCATTGATAGCATACTCGGAAACTATAATCATTTCTTTGCCTTCATCACAATACCCTATGAAAGGGATGATGTTTTCATGGTTGTAGCTAGAAATCATTTCAAGCTCTTTAAGGAAATGATGTTCTCCTTGGTGACTGGTAAGGGGTTTTAATCGTTTGAAGGCAGCAGTCCGGTTTTGCCAGCGTTCAGAGAGTTCTCCTCTGTAGACATTTCCGTATCCAGTAAGAGTTTCTGAACTGAAGTTTTGGGTGGCCAAGTGGATCTCCTCCAATGGGATCAGAAACTTTGCGAGGTTTGCTCTAGAAGAAGACATTGTTTTGTATGGCTATGGAATGGTGATTCTGTGAATATAATCAGAATTGAGTTTGTGTAAAACACAAGGTGCTAGCATCGACTTATATTGCCTTCGGCTTTAATAACATCATAAAATAAAACCATTGACTAAAGTTTAGTTTATAATAAATTCCCACCACTTCAATTGTTATTATCTTGTGATAACACGTAACCCTTTGAGTTTGGACTATTCTCTGATTGGATTATTATTAGGTTAAAACCCATATATTATATGGTTGACATATTTAAAATATATTTATTATTTTTTTCCAATGAATAAACCATATTGTATATACCATCCTTCCTAATAAATGAAAATAATTTTGAAACATTTTACTCTCTTATTAACTTGGATACATGTCATTTTTTAGTATTTTTGATTAATTGTTGTTTCCATTTGTCATTTTTGTCATTTTTTTTTATATTTTCGTAATTAACACATAATATTTACATCTCAATTAATAATTGTCTTAATTGAAAATAACCAATAAATTATAATATTAGTATTCATATAGTATTTAATATATTTTCTTTTAAATTAAAATTTTAAATTTTAAATTTCAAATCTAAATTTTCAAATTTAAATAAAATTTTATTTAAACTTTCATATTAAAAGTTTTTTTTATCAAACTCGTATAACATACGAGTATCACACCTAGTATGGAATAAACCATATAGTTTTTGTTCATATAACTATCTAATGTAAACCCTACTCTATAGCAAAGAAATAAAACATGCATCAAAAGCTTACCAAATTCTAATACTTCATTTGGGAATATGTCATATACAACAATCCTACAAGCCTACAACTAAAAAATAAGTTTACAATACAACACGAAATCATCTGTCGTCAAATGTCAAGCTCTTCATGCGTCACTAATTCCTTGTTGCAAATTTTTTGGATCGAGCCTTTCACCTTCAAACATTTGCTTGAATTTCCAACTAACTCAATCACATGGCTGTTGAGTACTCAAGTTCACAAAAGAGCAAAGAGCAATTGTTGAATCACTTTAAAAGATGATATACAAATACTACAACTAAGGAATTGCATTTTTAAAAGAAACAAAATGTATGAATTTCAAAGAGCATAAAAATTAAATTTTCAAAAAACAAATGATAGAAGCAAAATAATCCAACTTGTGTTTATATATTAAGTATGTAAATTGGTAAAACATGGAGATTAAGTTTACAATTTAGAATATTACCTGCTTTGAGCATCCTCTAAATTAGATAACATTCAAATCTGAAAATTTTACATGTGATGAGATAATTGTCATTTTGTTTGCCACATGTGTAAAGATAAGAAACGATAATTAGTTTAGTTCAAATACAAGATAAGTATTGTTGTATTTTGTAACAACCCGAAATTTATTCGTCGCCAAAACCCGTTCTACCCGGAAAAAGTCGCCGTTATCGGATTCGTTCCGTTTTCTCTTTGGAGTTAATCGTATAAATTTATATGTTTATTTTATTTCTAATGAGTGTCTAAATCACTCAGGAACTTATGTTAGTTGCCCAAACACATTTATTTCATAAGTTTTAAAAATGTTCCCGTCGGGTGACGGAAACTCAATCGGGTGCGACCAAAAGCCGCGTTTAGCGTCGGTATCGGGTAGAATTCCACCGCGTGCAAATTTTGGGAACTATATAAACGAGTTTCAGCTTTCATTTGAAGCTTTTTCCTTCTCTCACTACTCTCTCTCTAACCTCTCTCCAAAATCCAAAGATTTAGTGTCCAAAACTCAATTTTAAGGCTTCAAATCCTTAAGGTAACTCCCTAGCTTTAATCTATAGCATCTTTAGCCTTCAAATTCGAGATTTAAACATGAAATTGGACAATGTATGTGAGTTTACGGCCTAAGAAGATGCTTAGGCCGTAAACACCAAATTTAAGGGGGTTTGAGCCTTTAAACCCTTCCTTGACTAGTTTGGACTTTGGATATGGCTATGAGACTTTAATATATGTAATCTAAACATGTAAAACATAATTCTTGTGATGTTTGAAGGAGTTTACGGCCAAGGAACCTTCTTGGGCCGTAAACTCACATAATGAGGGTTTTCATGCCCTTAAACCCTTCCAAATCACCCCTATAGCTTAGATATGAATTATAGGACTTTGATTCTTGCATTTGGACACTTGAAACATTAATTTTGAGGGACTTAGATGAGTTTACGGCCAAGGAGAGTTCTTGGGCCGTAAACTCCACAAAACTTGGCATAAATCTCATTTTAAGGTGTTAGAAAGCCATCCAACACCACCAAAAGCTTTGAAATAAATCAAGGGACCAACCAAAAATACTTTGAGGGCCTAAAACACAACATTTATGGGGTTTCTAAGAGTTTACGGCCAAGGCATGTTCTTGGGCCGTAAACTCCAAAATTTTTGGTGTTAGAATGCAAACTACACACCCCTAAGGCCCTTAGATGAATTTTAGAAGTCCTTTCATGCAAGTTCTAGACCTTGAAACACCTTGGAGCACCATGTATTAGAGTTTACAGCCATGAAGGGAGCTTCATGGGCCGTAAACTCCACAAACACCTTAAAAATCACATGCAAACTCATGTTAGGCCTTGGATTAATTCTACCAATCACATGTGATTTGTTCTAGCACCATTTAACATCATTTTCTTGGAAAAATAAGGGTTTACGGCCATGGAGATATGCTAGGCCGTAAACTCCCATAAAGGGGGTCTAATTGATGTTTTATAATCATTCCAAGTCCTTAAACCAAGTCTAGAAATTATCCCCTAAGTGTTGGAAGTCCAAATTGCACCATAAACCACCCCTCATGAGTTTACGGCCGTAAACTCATGGGGATGGGTGTTTAGGCCGTGAACTCCCATAAAGGGAGTGTTCCTTTGATGTCCCAACTCATTTCCCAAGTCCCTTGTGTCATTCATGTCCCTAAACACCACCCGGGTCCCACCAAACACTCGTGCCAGAGTGTTTTCGCGACTTGAAGCAAGTGTCCCTATCATATGAATAAACTAAGTCCTAATTAGATACAAATGTGTATCTTTACATGATAATTAGGAACCTCGTGTGTTTACAAGTTCCGGATCAACTCTTAGCATCCAAACCGTCTCGTATCTCGTCCGGTGAGTTCATACCCCTACGGCTTTTGCACTGTTTTCAATGTTTTCAGGGGGGGAATACAAGCAAACTAAAATTGTTTTCCAATCACAACATTGATGTGTTTCAAACAATCTTTGACAAATCTATAAACTCTTTTACTCCTTATGTATTATGCTGAGCATAAGGAATGACTATTCGATTTCAACTAAATGGATTTTAGTTAAGGAAACAATCAAACTAATCAAATTATTATGGGAATAATTTGGGGGTCTTTTCTGTTCTTTCTATCGTATACTGATATCTATATCAAGTTATTAGATAAACTATGTCTGTTTCAGTTTATCTCCGTATCATTTGAATGTATTATCCGATAATTTCATGTATGTATCTATACTTTACTGTTCTAAGTTTCACGACCTTCTGTATGTCGATATCTTATAAGAACCCTGTGAATAGTTTAGTACTAGCTTGTGAGACAGTCACTACCCTTTATGGATGATCAGTAAATCCTCCCCGGAAGTGTAACCAGAGTCTCCTGGAGGGAGAGCGCGGAATTTGTGAATAGATCTATTCGGGACTGACAATCCCACACCTTAACTGCTAGCTACATTTAGGCGGGCACGCCTGGGGTGACAAATTTCTGGATATCGTTTCGACGTCTGACAAACGTCAAGGAGGTCACGTTGTCGTATTAGTATGGTTACCCGACTCACAACATGTATTAATACCAGCTTATTCACAGTTTGGGTTCAGAATCTTTATCTCGTTCGGGATTGTAATCCCATGGTATTGTTTCTATGTCTCTTTCGGGATAGTGATCCCATGGTATTATCAAACTATTATATATCTATGTCCTATACGGGATAATGATCCCATGGTTTATTCTTATATCTCTTTCGGGATAGTGATCCTATGATATTACTAAACTATTTGGTATCTTGTTCGGGATAGTGATCCCATGGTTTTATGTCTACAACTTGTACGTGATGTCTTTCCCCATGGTCTTTAACTATACTTTATACGGGATAGTGATCCCAAGGTTTCATATCGATATCTTACGGGATAGTGATCCCATGGTTTTCTAAATCTATATACGGGATAGTGATCTCAAGGTTTTCTAAATCTATATCTTATACGGGATAGTGATCCCATGGTTTCTAAAAATTGTATCTTATTCGGGTTAGTGATCCTATGGTTTCAAATCTATATTTACATACATACATTAACTTATCTCGTGTTAGTCCGGGATGAAAGTCCCATGATCTTGAACCTGTACTTTCGAATATCTCAAACTAACTTATATGTCTTTCGGGATAGTGATCCCAAGATTTTCATTATATAGTTTTGTGTGTTAAACTATACTTTGTGATATACCATTGATCTTACAATTAGGAAAATATGGGATTTTCTTGGGGTAAATACAATACATAACCGAATTGGTAACAAATGATAACTTAACCAACTTCACATAAGAAAATATGGGATTTTCTTGGATAACAAATCTTTTCGGAAACTAAAGGAAACCGATACATTTTCACAAAACAAAACCGCTTATGAACTCACCAGCTTTATGCTGATTTTCAAACCGCTTGTATTCTCAGGTCCAAGTTAGACAGGTACCCGATGATCTCTTTTGGTGAAGACGGAGTGCGTGGAAGACTCGTCTCAACTTTTGTTAATATGATGCATATGTATATTTGTATAACTTTACTTTTGAAACACATGTAAACTTTCATATATATGTAATGTAATGTTTGTTTACTGTGATTACTATGTACATTGGATTTGATACACAACATGGTAGTCAACCCCGGAGACGTTTCCGCCTCTGGTTTTCGGGGTGTGACATATTTAGGATCTTCAGTTGTAAATACTTAGTATATAAGATACCAAACCCTCTGGGT